CTATCTCATTTATCAATTTTTAGAATGCATCTTTTCAATCATGAAAAATAAACGAACATTATGAGAGGTATAGAAGTTCCTTAGCATAAAAAAAGAATAATTACTGTGAATTATCAAATATATTACATGAATTTGTTTGTTTTAATACAAAAAGTGATACACCCTTGACTAGTGTTGCCTAAAATCGGTCTTGGTCTTGCACTTTGCAATACCAAGACCAACTGTTGGGCACCTAACTGTTGCAAGACCAAGACCAGGACCAGGACCAGGACTAGTAAAAAAAAAATCGATTTTTCAAAAAAAAGATTAAGGCAAAATAGTAACTAATACTCGACAATCTTAGTTACCATATGTATAGAATTGGTATAACCAATATACTTTTGCATTTAACTCCTCTAATTTTTCATTCGGGCTTAGTTAGGTTTCTCCTATCTAAAAAAATACAGTAATATCTCTATAGTAACAAGCTGATAAATAACTGCGAGACTCTAGCGCAAGACCATGATCAAGATTGAGTTTGCAAGACCAAGATCAAGACCTTGTCTCGGTCTCGCATTTGGGCAACACTACCCTTGACTGTAGTTAACATGAGCCAATAGTAATAAAACAAATTAGAAAATGCCGACTATTCTGTTGATAAATGAAAATTATTTGAAATTTATAATTAGTGTCATGTAATATAACTTAGTTTGTAAATAATATAGAACTCAGTAATTAGAGTCAACATCCACTATATTAGTTTGGTAATAAAATTTTATATGGTTTTTCATTTTTGAATTAATCGTGTTATTAATTATTTGATCGAAAAAAAAAATCAATAGGTATCCTTTGCAGATTTGATACTGTCCATGTAGGACAGGCTATGCACTGGGCTATGTAAGCCCAGTAACCTTATAAATCGTAATTTGCATTGAATGGGGTTAGAAGGTTTATTTTTATTTTATTGTAGGAGATATGACTGAGATGCAAAGTTCAAGTTTTGGACTTCGGCGCCCCACCCCCCTCCAGGATCACTTTTGAATATCTCAAAAACTGATATTGTCGCACTTTTTTCGGTTTTTCCCCCATTTTATTCGTGAAACAGCTCGTTATAGACAAAACCATCCTATAAATTTTTAAACTAGATTAAATATCCAACAATTTACGACCAGAACAGGCTCAGTAAATAAAATAGTTTACGAGATACAGGTTTTCAAATCTTGAAAAATTTTATTTTCCATTTAAATTTTTTTTTATGTTTGACCATATGCAATTATCTTTTATCTTCAATAATCTGTCTGATGTGAGTCAGTGAAGTGAATAATTATTCATTTTATTATTTTGAAGGAGGGGAAGATGGGAGGGAGGGGAAGGTTTAGTGAGAGAGGGTTTTTTTTGTCCGTGGGCCAGACCTTCCTTCCGTGGACCCTCTCTCCACCTCACTATAAATTGCATATCGTTGTGTCTCTTGTAACTATATATTAGAAGAAAAAGCCAATGTTTCCTAAATAAAAAATTGGCCTCACTGTCCCAAAATGGCGTCCAAACATGGCGGATTGACGATCATGACTTGAAGTTGAAGATGAGTTAATTTTTCAGCAACTGAGATTCAGCATTTGGTTTAATTTCGTAATAATTCGTCATTTATTAAAGCTGGATAGTCAGAGAATAATAAAACATTAAAAAATTGTTTTATATAATTGTCCTTGGCAATGAAAAACGCCAGTAAAGTCAATTTTTTTAAGTCGTTCAATCCTAAGTTGAAAATTAAGCTCTTTTTTTTACTTGCGTATTCGAGTTACTATCACAACTCAATTTTTGGCTAAATCTAATTACCTATATTGGCCAAATTATAAACATATCACGAGTTTAATAGCTAAGTTTTAAAAAATAAAAAAATATTTTTTTTTATTATTGCATACATATAAATTTATATTTTATTATAATATGTCTTCTCGAAATAGATAATAAATTATACAATATCTGAACAATGTAATGCTTAAAATACAAACTACAAGACATGAATCTTAAGCAATCTATTGGTGCCTACCACGAATATTTATTTTACGTGAGATACTTATACTTGCTGTACTCATATTGAATTATTTTGAACAAAACACTTATTGTTTAGCATAAAATACCTGATATATGATGCTTTTGGGCTGAAGCCCCCCCCCCCCCAATGGTAAAATGTTACCATGTTTTATGGTAAAAAATTACGTCTTAAAGTATTATTGCTCGTTTAATTACATTTAATACGACTTCAAGTATCACTTAATCAAAATTTCATATAGGTAGTATCTTTCTGTTTTTCCAAGGTAATTATCGTTATATGATAAAAAAAGCTGAAGCCCCCCAAAATTAAATCCTGGATCCGCTAGTGCAACAGACTATTGTGTTGGTTCAAGGGTTTCAACTATTTGAAATATAAATTAATCGTCTTCATCTAAATTATTTTTTCTAAACTATTGCCATCTTTTCAAGTATTTTCAATCATCGGATTGGCAAACTCTCATTTTTAAACACAAATGCTATGAACATTAAAAAAATTGTTTTCAATGTTTTCGTCAGATAATGAACATTTTTTTCACAGTTTTCGGATTATAATTCTAACTGAACCTCAACTTGCTATGTTAAATGATAGTTGAGAGTCAGTCAAGAACAGAAGATAAAAAAACAAAACAGTTATGATCACTTATGACAAGAAATTATCTTCCTATTCTTGCTATCACTTTTTGAATGGATGGTTTATTATAAATATAAAAATATAAAAAAGAAAGGTTTTTCTATAAGTAATTTTATTACCATATCGTGGTTGCAGATGTGGTGATCTGAGCATGATACTTAAAGTATAACGGATCAAATTTCTCTGTTAACCTTTTAAATGAATTTATTTTAGTATTTATATAATGAATTAATCTTAAGAATATATTTGCGTGATGAAATAATCTTATTTTAATGTAAAACTATTTTAAACCAGAGAAAACAAACTTGCACCGATTGCACTTCGTTAGAAGTTCATAATCTTATATCTTTCGTTATACATCTACAATATATATGTCAACTCAGGAAAGATACCATGCGATACTTAAACTGTTTCCTTTACGATTCGGCTGTTTATTGAAAACACTTCTCTATATTGAGTTGTACAATTGTAGATATTGTTTTCTACACACGTAAAGAGCAAATGAAGTAATATTTAATGTCTACTAGTTTTAACTATCAGTTTTTAGTCGTTTAAAAACGTAACAAAACCATAGCTACAAAATCTTGTCATCTAGCCGAAATGTTATAATTAAAAATCAGAACATGTATTTGTTAGAGTATCTGTCACAGATCACTAATAGAAACAAATATCGACCAATGAAAAATAAATCACTTCTCTATCATTGGCGTCTACCTGTAAGTCCACACACTTTATTTTCCAGTGATGTTTTAATTTGACGTTAAAAACAGAAAAAATGCTTGTATTTTGATACAGCTATACTTAGTTACTCATTAATAAGAAGACTAAATAGTAATTGTATTGTATGGTTAGGAATTTCAGTCGCAGCGGAAAAAAATTCTTATATAGGCATAATATAAAATAAAAATCTTTAACATTTTCCACTAGACTATGATCCCAATACAACTTCCCAACCATATTCTCTAGATTCAATTATTTTTTTGCCATAATTAGATTATTCTTTTCAAAACTACCCCAACAATATTTGCTCGACATTGCTGAAGTAAGCAGTAGTAAATGTTCTACAATGGATTTCTTCATCGGTTGTTTTAATTATTATAACAGAAATATTGAAGTAATTTAAGAAATTATGATTGGTGTTCACGATAACGGGAAATAGATGATTTTTTTTCTAATTTGCTAACTATTTATAAGAAACCTATTATTTAAAAAGTCGATCTCAGTAAATCTCTTTTAAAACAAATATTATTCTGCAGGAGATTCATTAAAATTGAATTAGTCTTTTGAACAAGATCCGCTAGACCGACAAGGTGGACACACACATTAAAATAAAATGAAAACATTAAAACATACGTTTGACCATATTTTAATACAAAGAAAATATTAATATGACTTTAGAGTCAAAGTCGTCGTATACTATAAAAAAAATAAAATAAAATAAAAACGCTGAGATGTTAGCGGAAGAATAAAAAAGTCGTGAATATATGATATTTTAGGTCACGAAGTTAAATTACACAAATTACAAAATAAATTACCTATACAATCATTGTGCATATGAATGGGTTTTACTAAAATAAAACTTATCGATAATATTAAGTATAGTAATTTTCAAAATCATGGTACCTCAAGTATCAAAGGCAATATTTTTGCATAGTTATGCTTTCATTCTCAAATTAATGATACATAGTCACAATGAATTTAGAAAATATGAAAACCAAGCTCGAGATTAATTTGTTAGAGAAGCGCTCGGTATTCCTAATCCTTATCATTTCCTATCCGGCAATCGAACATGTTTACTAAAAATAATGTTAAACTTGTTTAATTAAGACATTAAAATACTTAATTTATTATTCAATATGATATTTTCTTTAATACCTATGAGAATGATCAATTTCCGCGACTTTTTGAATATTTGAAATAAATCATAAATATAACCGCTACTCACAATAATAACGATAAACGAACTAAAAGCCCTTTTAAAATATAGTATTATGTACTAATTGTCCAAATTATTTACTGAAGAACCTATTTTAATCAAAAGATGACGCGAAATATAGATAAAAATTATTAATAATAACACTTGCTATCTGAATAACAAGATCGCAAATATTCTCTGCCATCTCTTTAGTTGATTATAGCTAATATGGCGCTGTCACATTCTTACAGTGAGAAGCCTGAAAAACTACGTTCGCAAAAGCCATCATTTGTGTACTTATCGTGATGTTAGTTCGGTTCGATGAATAATTATGATTGATAAGAGGCTCAAGTTCAGTGTGTGTGATGAGAGTGTTCAAAGAAATGTTATTGCTTGAGCATAAGCGAATTGGTTTAATACCTTAGACATCAAATGTTTGTTTCTTCCAGGAGGATTATTTAGGAAATATTTCTGACTGCGCTTAGAACTCAAATACTAAGCAGATCAACATATTCAAGTAAGTAATGTTTGTTTTGATCTTTATTAATTGTGCTACATGTGAATTGTTTTACGAATTTCACATATTAAACAAGTTTCGTTTTGTTTTGGAGTTTTTGTTGTTTTCATAGAGTTGTTCTCACCATTTAACATGAAAAATTTAATTTATGGTGTTTTAAAGTAAGTGGAATTTCAAACATTTAGTTAGTTGAGAATATCATAATTTGTATGTTGTAAACATTATAAAGTACTAGTTAAGTTGTGTTGATCTGAATACCATGTTATTAATGATTTATATATTTAGTTAATGATGATCAAATGTTTCTTTAAGTGTTAATGTTGACATTATAAAATGAATGGATTATCGGTCAGTTGTTTTGCTTTTTGTTGTCAGTCATTAGTTTCTTTGTTTATTAAAACTGCTTTGATACAATTACTATCTTCTGGTCATAAATTAAGATCTATACAAGTGTTATAGGTTTGTTTAAATCATTACTTTTATTTCTTAGACATAGTGAAGTTGATGTTTATTTTTTTGAAAACATGCAAATCATATGAAATGAAAAAATAAAACAAATATTCAATAATTTCATCTACACTGATTGTTTTGTTGTCTTCTCTTTTTCCCCCATTTTTATTAATTATATAGTTTGTCCTTATAAGTGACATATTTGTTATAGTTAAGAATTTTAACTTTCTCTTGTGGTCTGATTTTTGCGATATAGTTTTCTTATTAAACTGTAAAATGGCTTACTGTTTTTTGTTTACAGTTAGAAACTATTGTTTTTTAGTAAAAAATATTTAAGTTGCTGTTCATGTTTGTTAACCAGCTTTTCATTAATTGTAATGTATTACGTTGTTTGTTGTTTACATGTTTAGCTTGCTTTTAGAGTCGTATATTTTTTATTGTAATAAGTTTTCAGACATGATCAAATATTGGTTTCTATTAGCCCATGCTTTTGAGAATCTAACCTACCTTAATTACCTGTTAGATTTAAAAGAAAAAAAAATGTTTTTCTAATAAACTCTTTACGAATCTGTTATCAAATTCATTAGTTTTTTAGTTAATATTTAATGGAATTATATCTAAATATTTTTTTGTTTTAAGAAAAATTATCCAATTTTAATTTGTTTTATCTGGTTATTATGTATTTTTTCTGATATTTATAGTATGGTTGAATGGTTATTTCAGATACTGCTTATGTTAAAAATTCATTTAACTTTAAAATCATTCCTAATTTATAAAAATTAGCTTACTTTAATCAGAAAATATAATCTATTTATTTAAGTTTTTTTATTAAATTAAGTTATAAAATAAATTAATAACTTTAAATTTATATATTTTGTATTAAATCCCTTTATTGCCAATGTTGTACTGTTTGAATCATTGATTAAATTAATTGAGCTATTTGTATTTTTATTGGTAACTTATATGGAAATGAAAGCGCAATTAGGTCAGTGTTCTTCTAATTTAGATTTAAAATGATGCAGATTAAAAAATGAAAGCTTTTTCAAAATGTTTTGTTCTGACTATAATTAATTTTATTAGGTATTGTAATTATTTAGTTCTTTACGAAATTAGTTCGACCATCTGAATGTCTAATAATAGGTACCTACCTAAATTTTTTTTTTTTAAATTGGTCTAATTTATTTATTTATTAGATTTTTTTAATATGCACAGTCAAAGGTGTGTATGACTTAAGTTATGCTCTCTGTATGAATTAAAATGTTTAATCTAACTCATATTGTTTGCTTATCTAACTGACAGTTGTTTAGTATATAATTGAGATATTGTAAGCTATCTGTATACCAATTAAAAAAAATCACTTATTTTTTTAAGCTTACTTAGAAAGTAATAGTTTTCGATTAATGCTATACAGTGCAGTAAGTTGACTTCACCTCATAGAATGAAATGACGAATATTGAATTAATTATAATTAATATATTTTTAATGCTATTTCATATTCATTAAATTTTTTGTTTAACACTTCAGTTAGTTCATATCAAATATTATGTTCACAAAACCATGGTGCATACTGCAGCACTATAATCTTCTGATATAAAGTAAATTATAATTTGGAACGAATTTGCATAGTATCTGCCTATCTATCTATGTACATGTATATATATATATCATTTTTTTTATTATTTTTTGTATTAAGGATTTCGTGAAATTATTTTTAGTTTCACTCTCATAGTCTGAATGCAAACTTCTCACGTCCTGTGACATTGTACTATTAACCAAATTGAGGTTGTAAAATTGATATGATGGGTGGATTAGAATTGATTTCCAAATTTTTAAATATTTCTGGTATCATCATGCATTCTGTTGGAACTAGTAAGGTTCAACCTGCTGACTCATAATACATACACACTCCTGATAGTAATAAATATTGAACATTTTTCTTTCTCTATCAAAAGTTGAATATTATGTTTATTTAAATAATATAATAATTTGAAAGATGATACACGATTCCGTTTTCATATTGATGTATTAAAAACCAATATTTAAGAATTAAAATAATTTTGTCAATATGTCTTTAACTAAGCAATTTCTATTTGTAATAATAATTTCATGTGTTTTTAAAAAATGTTTCAGCTGTCTTAGGATTGGCTAGTAGTGCCTTATTCTGCCCAGCAAATATCATTAGGTTTAAGATAGAAATATAGGTAAACAGGCTCTAAATAAACTCCAACAAAATATGCATGATTTCATTCCTTTCATTGTTATCTAGTATTAAGGAATTACCTAGTAAGGAAAAAATTCATCAAAAATTGCTGATCATGGCAAGGAAACAATGTTAGTTTGTCACTGTTACAATTAAACTTACAAATTTTAACATTCATTTTTCTCCCAATGTTCACTATCTCACTGTGCGCTGTCAACTGAGCTTGAGTCCTGTTTAAAACATTCAATGGACCTCCTTCTAGTCTGTCTAGTCTAAGATGGCATTTTAACATTGGTAAAGCGATACACCATTGACTGGTGGGGAGGGGGGAGGAGAACGGTCCAAATTTGTTGTTATAGTAATTAATTGTACATAATGATAATCTGATGCATATGTTAATCAGGGGACATAATATCCAGCTAAAATAAGTTTGAAAATTAAGTTCTAAATGCGTATTTTTGAGAGGTAATAATTTTATGGTGTATTTGACGCCTAATGTATGACTTCAACAATAACACAGTTTTAAGATTTAGTTGTTTTGTGCCAGCAGTTTGTAGACCATCGAGCAGCTCTTTTTCAAAATGCTATAAAACTTATTGGAAGTAACTAAATTTCGGTAATCTGAGTAGCAAATGAAGTTAATTTAGTGGTGCCCAAGATTTAAAGTTTTCCTTACCAATATATTTCTATACCTTATTAATAAGATCCTTTTTCGGGTTGTTTATGAAGTTCAGACAATGTTGGTCGAATTCTGACAACTGATCAACTCTACGAATTTTGCCAAGTAGCTCTTGATAATCTGTTCTCACCAATTATTCGGTAATATTAAAGTTTAATATTATAAAATTAACAAAAAAATATAAAACTCATCCTGGCGAAATAGTCACTTGACCAGCGAAGACCATCTTCTAGTTCTCCTGCCATTCTTTAGGTTGTGCATTCTTTCCAATAAACCCTGCTGCCATTTCTTTTTTTTTTTTTTGTTATAAAAATAAATTTTCCTCTTGCTACCATTGCATAGGTAATAGTATACCTTCCAACCATTTCTTTTCTGGTCGATCTTGCTTCCTCCTTTCATATGGTACATGCTTAAGCATCCTTTTAGGCCATCAGTCATCTGAAATTCTCGTGACGTGCCCAAACCAATTCTGTAGTATAGGTGTTAAGGGATTATTTTATTTTTTTTCCTGATAGCGTTATTTAGATAGTTTTGTAGGTTAGATATTCTGCTTCTATGTCTCAAAAATCCATTTAAAGTTTTCTTATTGAGTCTGTTAAAATAGCCCAGGTTTCTGAGGCATACAATTCAGGAAAATGGATGGTCTTTTATTTGTTTGAAGCTTGACACTCTTATTCCAGAGAACAGACTTTTAAAGTCTGTATGACCTTGTTAGATCTGATGACGTTTTCATCAGTCTCTTTTGCTGTTGATTCCCTTCGAAAAATATTATCTGCTTAAATATTTAAATTTCATTTTTGCTCAAATCCTATTCCTCTACATTTAGTAAGGAGTTCCCACTATTATTGAATGCCAAATACTCAGTTTTTGTTTTACTAATTTCTAGGTCTCCTATCTTATAGGCTTTCAATTACTTCATCATCATATAGGATGAATCTTCTTCATCAATAACAATAATCACCTGGTCATCGGCAGATTGTTAATTGTTTAGGCATTTATCATCTATGTGATTTTCTGTTTTTCATGTTTCCTAATGTTTAATCTAAGTCATCTGCTGGGGGTTCTACTATGAGCATTCACCCTCTTTATTAAATTTTTAATTAATTTAAAATCTGAAGTCTAAAAGAATGTGGTAATAAAACATAATAATAATGTTTTGGTTATTACTTAAGTTTTATTATATGGTCATGTTTAAGAAAGCAGCAATTTTGGCCCATTATCTGAAAGTATTACAGAGTCAGTTCTCATTTTTTATGGGGTTTTTTTTGTGGTAGAATAACAAAATAAATTTTCATTCCACCAAAATATGTTTACTCTCTATTTCCTACATTTACTTACCCTTATATGGAATATATATAATAAGGAAAAGTATTACAAAAGAAAGAAATTAGCTTAAAGGAAATATACATTTTGAAGTTCCTTGTGTTCAAATAACCAAGTCTGACAAAATGGTCTCTTTGTGTGAACAGCCTTGTTCTAAAACGAATAGCTGTAAAATCTGAAATTACGATTTTAAGGTAGGTATATGCCTGGGATGTTACATCCACCTTTATAGGATAAAAAAATGTAGCATATACTATCCTGTTGCATAACATAACACCCCGTTACTGCCATCATTCCTTATCCAATTTCCCTAATACCAAGGCCACATGGGCTATTTTTAGAAAACTG